CGACTTTCGCGATACTAAAGAGCATACTGGAAAGGGTAAATGCCTGGGACTCAGAAAATATAGTTAGTTGGGGTAGGTCAGATTAAGGCTACGTTAGATTATAAGAGCAATATTGACGGCGCAAGACGCGATTTGGTTGGCAGTCACCTCCTTTCCACTTGTTTTCTCTCTCGGCATTTCTGGCGCCTGGAGGAGAAAGGGACCGGCTTGGCCATCACGTTGGGGTGGAGAGAGTGTATGCCTACATCGTTGAGGTGGAAAGTGTGTATGACGATTCCGCGACATCATGAACTTTACGTGCAGAATTGGAAATAAAACTCGCGCCGTCAACATTGCTCTAAAAAAAAAAATTTTAGCATAAAATTAATTTTTTTGACGCGCTTGTCCTAACCAGACTGTTTAATTCCTTTTTCCGGTGGCCAGGGTACAAACCTGTTGCCGCATAAGCTGTGCTTTTAGCTGGTGGATGCGATTATGATGAAAGATGTGCGTTAACCTCACTCAAATTTTGTAGACAATTTTTTTTTATTTATAAAGAAGACACCAAAACCCAATACATTATTTAATGATAATTACACTATGAAATGTTGTTATTTCTCACTCAAACCTGCGACGTTATCCATTTTGTTCTTAGCCCGAGACTGAGGCAGGAAAAGAGGAAAGTTTCGAAGTAGAAGAAAAATGAACAGTCGAGGACACGTCTCTAACACAGCTAAAGACAAGTTTATTTGGTCACCTTCTTATATACACTCCACAACCTTCACCACAGCACCTTCCCGATCTCGAAAGCCAAAAGATAACAAGGTCTCACATCTTTCTACCACAATTGTCAAACGACCTTGACGTTTTCCACAAAGCAATGAACAATAGCTCCCCTCATCAGGAAGACACTTGTCTGAATCCTTCGCGTACACAGTACACTCTCTCCCTCTACTCTCCGACCCATAATCACAAAGCATCCCGGTAACAGAAGATATCAATCCACGTGATACACAAAGGAAGAAACCACTTACACCTTCACATTCAACAAGCACTTCACAAAACTTTCAAATCCGCAAGAATGATTTTGCCCTGCTGCTAAGCTGTAACGACACCTGACTAATGCAGTTGCCCATTGATTTCATTCTTATTGTTTCTTTTACAACCCTTTTGATGTCGTTTAACTCCCTGTGTATTATCTCTGTTTCAGACCAGTGGGGTATACAATTATTACATTCTTGAACATGTTTCGCTATTTCCGAATTGGCAACGTTGTTTTTGACATTCCTTTTGTGTTCAGTCAATCTGTCATTTATGGTTAAAATCCACCAGCTCGCCTGCGCAATTACTACATTAACGTTATCCATGTGCCTTTTTGGTTGCTTCATCACTTTGCTTTTGATTCGTGAATCCTTTTTCGGCTTTTGGGCTTGTGAACACTGGATTGAGTTTTCTTGACTTTTTTTTCTGGTCTTACTTTTTTTAGCACCTGCAAAAAAAAAATGTTTTCAACTACAAATTACTACATAAGATCGAAAGCAGCTTACACAACAGATTTGAAGAAAAGGGGAAAAATGTAGTCGTTTATAATTGGTGACAGATTAAGCGTTCAGGGAAAGCTCCTCCGTCTTTCCACTTTAGCAGCGCAAACGCTGGAGGAGAAGTCACCTTCTCTCCCGCATTCACTCTTTTAACCCTTCTGAACTCTTTCTTGACCGTGCCCATATGGCCATCGATCCCCTGTGATCGATGGTTTCAAAACGCCGTCAAGAAATTAAATTTTGCGCGGAAAATTAGGTTCCACAATTTTGTGGATACCTAAAGAAGCCTAGTTTCGGTTTCAAGGTAGGTTTGAGCTTTATCACAAGTAGGTGGGTTGTCAAAAGTAGTGCTGGGAACGGTGGCTACACTCGTCTAACATGGCTAACTGTTTGCGTCTGTCTATGTAACCAAAAGGGCAAATATGAAGGAATTGCAATGAAGGCTATACAAAACCAAGGTAGAACACAAAGAAAGCGTTCTTTTGGAGATGTGAGGTGCACTATCTGGTGCTTCACATATCTAAGCATTCCTTCGTTGAAAAGCACATGTGTTAGGGAAGCCAACTCGCCGACGAATCAAAAATGAACGTCAGTTTGAGTGCACTAACTTTCAGAAGTAATAGTCCGATCGACACCTAATCACTTCTTGGGTTGTGAATATGAAAGCATGAAAGTCGTTCTTCCGCTCCCTTAAGGGCTGTTTGCAGAGGTCGGCATTTTAGGTCGCCCTCACTCACCCTCACCCTCACAGCCACACTCACCTAAGCCCCTCACTCACCCTCACCCTCACAGCTACACTCACCTTCAGCCCCTCACTCACCCTCACCCTCACAGTCACACTCACCTTCAGCCCTTCACCCACCCTCACGGCCCTCACGCACTCACCGCCCTCACGCCCCTCACGCCCCTCACTCACTCATGGCCCTCATGGCCCTCACAGCACTCACCGCCCTCACGCCACTCACCGCCCTCACGGTCCTCCCCGCACTCACGGCCGTCACGGCCCTCACCGCCCTCACGGCCCTCACCGCCCTCACGGCCCTCACACACTCATAGCCCTCACGCCACTCACCACCCTCATCGCACTCACGGCCCTCACCGCCCTCACGGCCCTCACGCCACTCACCGCCCTCACGCCACTCACCGCCCTCACGCCACTCACGCGCCTCACCGCCCTTGCGGCCCTCACACCCCTCACGCCCCTCACGCACTGATGGCCCTCGCGCCACTCAGGCCAGCTTCAGATGGGGCAAATTCGCCCAGAAACTTTGCGTCGCAACACCAGCAACACAGGCCGCCCGCGATCACACGCAGCAACCAATTGCTGCAATTTGCCATCGTCATCATAAAATTTTATTTTTCTTGCACTATTTAGACACAATTACGCGTTATAAACGTGTTTTTATGCATTTAAATCTTGTTAAGAATACTAATGCACCTTTCTGAAACAGTTTATTTCCAAAAAGAACGATCGATTTCAAACCAGAACCAAGTCTTTCGGTGTCATCATCACCGGCACCAGGTATCACATGAAAAGTTTGCGTCCCTGATTGGATGCAGCCGCTTCAAACGCATTCGAATTGTTCCGAGTTGCTTGCTTATTTCGAGCCGGACCCGATCTCAGCAATTCATGCCGATCTAAGGAAAACTAGAGAACAGCCCGCCATTAACACCAAAATTGCTGAGAAAGATGCTCGATCTGTAGGGGCCTCACGCACTCACGCACTCATGGCCTTCTCACACCTCATGCGCTCACCACCCTCACGGCTCTCACGCCTCTCATGCCACTCACTGCCCTCACGCACTCGTGGCCCTCACACCCCTCACGCACTCACCACCCTCACACCACTCACGCACTCACGGCCCTCACGGCCCTCACCGCCCTCACCGCCCTCACGGCCCTCACGGCCCTCACCGCCCTCACCATCCCTCACGGCCCTCACGGCCCTCACAGCCCTCACGGCCCTCATGGCCCTCACCGCCCTCACTGCCCTCACCGCCCTCACGGCCCTCACGGCCCTCACCGCCCTCACAGCCCTCGCGGCCCTCAGCGCCCTCACAGCCCTCACGGCCCTCACTCACCCTCACACTCATGAATTTTCCTGTTTCAGAAACTCACTCACCCTCACCTCACCTGTGAAAATGAGGGTGAGTGAGGGTGAGTGAGGGCCCTCATGAGTGAGGTTTGCCGAGATATGGGCTTCGCCCCGTCCCGCAACATAGCGTAATTGCTTTTTGTGCATATCTGTCTCCGAGACATGATTCTTTCCGCGGCATTTGTCTCCACGGTCCTTTCTAGGTGTGTCCCCAAGCATTCCGGTGCTTCGAAAGATGGCAATGCTGCGGTCGTTGCCGGGGGTGATGCGTGTTTTAGAGGTCGGCTACACGGTTATGCGTGTATGACCGAACCAAAACACGTTTTTTACCACCTCGCATGACTTTTGAACGAATTATCCATCACTCCACAAGTAAATTTATGCTAATTTGTTTAAACAGCGTGTTTTTCACCGCAAATATTCACCAAATACACGGGACTTGCTAAAACTGTTATGTCGGGCCCTTACGACCCCGCCAGCTCAAGTGGATGCCTACGTTCCACAAATTCGTTAGGTTTGAAGGAACAATTAGTGTTTTTCGTTAATTAAGGTTTCTTGCATCACAATTCAAAAAATCATTGCGGTGCCTTTAACTCATAAATATATATAAAAAAATTGGTTGGTCATAGCGACGTTTTCGTTAAATGAGGATAACCGTTATACTTGTCTTTGCGCTTGACTTTATTTTGCGTTGCCAACGTCGGCTTATGCATCTATTTTGGATTCGATCTGTTGATTGCAAGTACTCTAAAGGCAGCGTGTTAAACACTAGGGAGCGTGCGTCTACGCTGACCAGTGTGGCTTCTCTTCGGATGTAAGTTATGCATATGCGTATGCGTATATATACGTGCATACCCATTTTACGCTCATACGCTCACACACGAGCCGCCAAAAGCGTTAGAGCAAAGGAAACACACTATCTTTTCAAGTGTCGTTCTATAAAACTAAAATATCTGCTCAAACCCGGCCATAAAATAAAAACAAGTAAAGTTGCAGCTGTTTGGTTGGCTTCACGTAGGTTTCTCGCGCAGCTGTTAGGCTTCGATAACACGAAGCCAAACAGCCCCGAGACAAAGTATACGCAGACTGTTTTTTTTTTTTTTTCAGCAAAACTTTTTTGCTTTGAGCCGTCATCGCAGAATCATGCACGTCACAACGAAAAGAATCGTAACCGTCATGCAATCACCACTGTAAGTTTTCTCGTTAAATCCAGAACAAAAATTATATATCAAAAAGACTTTAAAACGGGGCTTTGTTAGCGAGACTTTGTTGCGTCGTCTTTCTTTTTTTGCAGCACTACTACATGCCGTGCCCAAAACGTACAGTCGACACGTGGTGATACAGCAGTCATTCTACACAAAAAACTCGAGGCTAACCAAAAGCCATGTTAAGACCGGATCTAAGGAACCAGAATAGTCAAGAAAGTTCTTCGTCGAGCGACAACGACTCCGAGATGGACTATCGCTGCGGCATGATGTCGTACAGGCCTGACTGGCTTCAGAGATTCGCCACGTCCAGGTACAGTGCAATCACTTGTACATACGTAAGTCAGAAGAAGTAACGCGTTACAAGGTACGCGTTACCAAGTTACGCTCTACCTCTAACTTATTTTTTTTTTTTCGGCGATAGTCGTTATCGGCAAGGTTGCGCATCGGATCCCGCGTATTTTTCGTGTAGGTACAGCTGCAATGGAAAAAGTGACCGACGCCCGGAGCGGAAAAATGGCGACAGGCGGCGCTATTGTTCCCGAACGCGCCGATAGTTCCGTATCTCAACGCGGGGGTGGCCGACAGAAAGCAGCCCATCCTAAAACCCGTAGTTCGAAAGTTATCTGATCCCTCAATTTTCTGCCGCCCCCCCCCCCCCCCCCCCCGTGTTCCGACATTAAACGTGACTGGCACTCTCGCTATCGGCGCGCTCGGGAACAATAGCGCCGCGTGTCGCCATTTTGTCGCTCCGGTCATCGGTCACTTGTGCTACTCTTTTTCCGTTGCAGCTGTACATTGCAGCAAGCTCTATTTGGCGGTGCAAATTTCTCCGCGATATTCAGCGATGAATAAGCGATGTCGCAACACTGTGTCGTCACAGCGTCCCGTGACGTCATGTCTCAAGACGTCACAATAATCTCGCTAGATTTAGTGGGAGTTTTTGTTTCGCTAAATTGAGGAAGAATTGAGTTTCGTCCAAGGACCGAAAACCGTTCCCCGAATGAACCGGGAAGGTTGGTTTTTTCTCCAAAAAAAGTAAACACGTCGTTATTTTTTTTTTTTTTTTGCTAACAGGAATAAGTAACGTAGTTGAATAACTTTAGACGAGTGAGGAGTAAACGCATATATTAAGAGGTTTCCCCTGGAACATGTATAGAACACAAGCGTATTTAAACTATTCCGACTTGTGCTGTCAATAGTGTCACAACCAAGAAGTGTTACGTCAATCACGTTGCACCTTTTTTTTTCTGCAACGAAGTACCAATTGTGGATTTAAAATATACCTGTGTTTATACTACTGGGTGATTTCATTTGAATTCGACCAAACTTGTCGGGGGGGGGGGGGGGGTCTTTAGATTTAATCGTAAAAATATATATGATACCCGAATCCTTGTGATGAAAGAAACTGCCTTTGAAAAAAATTAGAATTGTATAGTTTGAGAGAAAAAAATTCTGAGGCGCTGCCGGGTAGAAAACGTCAAATTCCCAATTTGATTTTATCTCGACTTTAGCCGCCATTTACAAAATATCGAATTCTTGCAGAATTATTATATTTATTACGCAATATGTACGCAGACTTGGCTATTTTTAGAGGTAAATTTCTGTCTTCTGTTATTTTAAATTAATTTTCTAAAAAATCTCAAACGTGCAACCTAGAGCAAGTGTGACGCAACTTCGGACAGCTATATAAAACGAACGGTAGGGCGCAATGACGTGAGACAGATATCTGTGCGTAGCTATCAATGTAAGCTATCGATTGACATGTATTTTCTGGTTATTGTGTTTACCGTGTTGTTTTTATTCTGCCACAAATATAGACAAAAATGAAAAATATGCAAATTTTGAAGTCAATTTTCTCAAAAAAGCCATTTTTTATTTCGTTCATACTTTTTTAATTTATTGCCCAGATTCTGCTTAATAACCGGGTATAAATATTGCTTGACCTTTTTTTGTTGTAGTTTTAGGACAACCAGTTGAATAAGTCATTTTTATCGCGTAATACCAACCTCCGGCTCCGGTATGCGGGCTTCACCGCAACATTGATAATTGGCTCAGCAATATCAGATTTCACTGAAAAACTACTTTACCCCGTTGAATTTTTACTAATATATTTTTAAAAAAATCAGTAACGTCATAAAGAAATGAGAGATGGCTGAATTGACGAAGTGATGTCTGCGAAGTCACAGCTTGCATTTTCGAACGTCGCCACGACAACGTTTTACTACTGAGGTTGCACGAAACTTATATATTTAAATTATTTGTTTGAACATTGTGCCGTGATAAACAACAACAAAAGTAAATTTAGTTAACATCAATGTTAACTAGACTAAGCGAGTGGAGAGATCCAAGACGTTTCATCCGTTTCGATCATGTCGGGTTGCATTCTACGGCACTATCCAGTCCAGAAAAACAATATCCCCGTTTATGCGTTTCGGACAATCTTTATTTTATACAAACATTATCGGAAAATCGGCTCGAATTTTTTTAATTTACCGCATGGCATTCTTTCGCCTATCCTTCATTGGCCCTTAGTATTCCGAGGTACGTGAAAAAAAAATTGACTACATTTTGTCCATCCTTCGGCTTTTGGACTACTTGTTGCATACGTTTAAATTTTTTGGGCTACGCACAGCATATCGGAAGTTGCTTTTCAGCTTACAGTAATCATACTCTTTTGTTGGCAGTATGCAATAAAACATTCATAGGTAACAGTTTAACAAAATCACTCTATTTATTGAGTAATTTATTTGGGTTAACAAGGCACACCTATAGAAACACATAATTTTTCACAGAAGCGCAAATGTACAAGAAGAGGCTTTAACAACAAAACAAAACAAAGCCGTAGATCATCTGAGAGTTCCGCACGTGCACCACAGAGGTTCATGCATTAAGACGAAGATAGAACAGTTCGCTCAAGCTGCACTTCGCCCCTTTCGCGTCGCCACACGTGCGAAGCGCGGATGCCTTTCCGAGTCGGTACGCAACTCCACTCTGTTTTCTTGATTCTGCGGAAGTCACTCACCTCCTTCTCCGTTAAGTTCATGAGAGTTACGTTTTTGACACGCCTTCCAACCTTGTCCACAAAATCTACTGATGTTCGGACGAGCTGCTCCTCCGGTGAACGGAGGTTGTGCACCGTTGCGTGATGTTTGAGAAGCCCTCCAACCCCGTCACAAGAGTTTTTACCATGCCGAGAGGCAGAAAATATCCACTTCAATTGGGTATGGCCCACTCGTTCGAACTCATGCAGCTGAAATCTATTTTTAAAATGAGCAGGTGCCCCGTCGGATATGTACGTTAGTGAAGCATAAACTGGGATGTGCTCCTCCAGCCAGTCTTCTATAAGTCTCAGAGCCAGCAGCACATGGGAAGTGTCATGACATAAGTCCTCACAGACAACGCCGAAGCATTTTGAGCCTTGCGACGTGGATGCCACACACGTGAAAACAGAGAGCTGACGCGTGTGCCAGTGGTACTCCTGTATCTCGTGTGGCAAAATTACCGTCCAGTTCTCCGCAAAATCGAAGTGCATGACGATGTGTCTTGAGGTCACACTAGACTTCTCAATCCGTATGGCTTCCCGTTGTGTCCTACGAATAAAATCGTGCGTGGAAAACCTTGTGGCCCATTTCTGTAGCTCTTTCAAAAATGCGCTGGAGTCGGCAGTCTTGCTTATCAAATTACCATTCTCCCATGTGAAAAATGTAATTTCCTCTTCAGGCACCATTTCCAATGATTCTAAGGAGAGTCTGTCAGTCGAGGGGCAGTCTTTGCATTCGCCTCTGAAATATTTGGACGAGGTTTCAGGGCAGAGGCACAAAGCGAGAATCTCCCCTTTTGGTATTTTTTCTTCTCGCATGCTGTTCAGGGTGGAAAAGCACAAATCGAAATTCGTACAGCACACACATGCACAGACAGTCTGTTCAGGGTTTAGCTTGACCCACTTTGGCCGCAGCGAGTAAAATTTAGTCAGACCTAATTTTGAGTCCGGGTTTGCTTCCTTAAACAGCCTGTACGTCTCTCGGACAGACCTTGTCATATACCCCTTCACGACCACATGTTCTTCGCCATCCTTCAGAAGCTTAACAGCACCTTTTTTGTTTGGGCTCTGCCGAGAACAGTCGAGATCGTCGTCGGTGTAATATTGCGTGGCTGCCCGTATGGTGTCCTCGCTTATGCTTCCACCGTGATAAGGCTCCGGACGCTCCCATACGCCGAACCGTTCACGAAGCTGCTTTGATTTCTTCAGAAGGTACTTCGATGCCTCAGGAATTAGCCGTTCTACCTCCCTAGTGGCTACGCCCTTGGGCACAAGCGTGAGGAGCTGACATCTCTCCTGGTAAGATGCCGCCTTCACAAAGGCCTCTCTGATGTTTGCCCACCACCCGTCGCAGCCGAGGCATGGTTGATCACTGCGAGAACTTGACCCACTTGGCTCCAAGGTATATGCAGTCGCCAACTTTTTTCGTACCTGTCGGCTGTGTGATCCTTCAATCTCCCGCTGTTTTCTTTCAGCATATGCCTGACGGCTTTTCGGGTTTACTGTAGAAGGCATGCGCAAAGGAGTTGTTTCAAGCCCAGCAGCAGAAATCTCTTCGTTAAGACCTTCCACTACTTCGTGCTCTTCGATGCAGCTTGCTGGAGAGCTCGAGCATGGATCACTGACAGATGATGAAAGCTTCTCACCGGTGTACTGGAAGCAGTTCTGGCAGAGCACGTCATCCAACGCAAGAGCCGCGGCTTTCGATGGAGGCAGGATCATCTTCAAGGCGTCTACGTTGAGATCGGTGACATAACGAAAACGTCGGTTGCGGTATACCCTTCGCCTATGTCTCTCGAAGTAGTCCGCGCAACTCTTTCTTTTAAAGCTGAAAACTGCAGCCATGACTGAGTTCAAAATAACGCGTTCATTCCTCGGGAGGTTCCGGCTTTCTGCTTTCGACGCAGTTCCGCAGTTCTCTTATACAAATTCATTGCTGCAAGCCCTCTTGTTATATTTTTTTTATTCTCTTATACTAGATGAGTTTGTCAAATATAGACACTGATTAGCGAATCAACCTAAGGACGCCAGAAATGTCATGGTGCGTGTTATTCGCTTACAAGTAAAAATAAATAATGGATAAGAGAAACAGACAGACCATAGCACCAGGGGCTCAAAGAGGACTACAAACATTAGTTCCGGAGAAAAGCGCTGCAACGAAGACACAAAATGATAAGCCAACCAAACCTTCCTTTTTGTTCTGATGCTCTTGCCGACACTGTGGCCATGTTTGTACTGGTGATAACTTGCCACCCTTGAAACAAATAAGTGTCCGCAAAAGCTGTATGTATACAGTTACGACTCCATCGACCGGCGTGATAATGTCTAGTGTTTACTGCATTTGTTTTCTCCTTTTGACAAACTTGACCCAGCCGAGCTACAGAAACTTCGGGCACCAAAGAGTCTCAAGCTTCCGCCCATAAATTTATTGGGAGAAGGACAAGGACTGCTTCACACAGTTCCACTTCGCTGTGATGCATTGCGACAGCCTGTGACGACGCGAGTTCCACTCTAACAAGATTAGTATAACCCTCTTGCAACGGCGCACGCCGAGGTCAACTAAGAGTCGCATGGTAATCTTCATGATAAGAATCGCAGCCTTTTGCTGGCGCTCGCGAAGAGGTTACTGAACCTATACTTCACCTAACAACTGGACCACTTGCAACTGATGTAACGAACATGGCTCTTTCTTTTGATGTAAAAACAAACATAAAGAAAAGCGCCAGAAAACGTGCATACCCAGCTGGTAAGCAACACACGGGAAATCAATTAAAAAAGTTTGAAAGAGAAAAAAAAATTTGCCTACGCCACTTGCCTTCTGTCATTTTTTTGTGACATTTCTTTTTTTGTAAAAAGTATATTACTAGGAATGCAACGAGGTAAAGTGGTTGTCAGTGAAATCTGATATTGCTGAGCCAATTATCAATGTTGCGGTGAAGCCCGCATACCGGAGCCGGAGGTTGGTATTACGCGATAAAAATGACTTATTCAACTGGTTGTCCTAAAACTACAACAAAAAAAGGTCAAGCAATATTTATACCCGGTTATTAGGCAGAATCTGGGCAATAAATTAAAACAGTATGAACGAAATAAAAAATGGCTTTTTTAAGAAAATTGACTTCAAAATTTGCATATTTTTCATTTTTGTCTATATTTGTGGCAGCATAAAAACAACACGGTAAACACAATAACCAGAAAATACATGTCAATCGATAGCTTACATTGATAGCTACGCACAGATATCTGTCTCACGTCATTGCGCCCTACCGTTCGTTTTATATAGCTGTCCGAAGTTGCGTCACACTTGCTCTAGGTTGCATGTTTGAGATTTTTTAGAAAATTAATTTAAAATAACAGAAGACAGAAATTTACCTCTAAAAATAGCCAAGTCTGCGTAAATATTGCGTAATAAATATAATAATTCTGCAAGAATTCGATATTTTGTAAATGGCGGCTAAAGTCGAGATAAAATCAAATTGGGAATTTGACGTGTTCTACCCTGCAGCGCCTAAGAATTTTTTTCTCTCAAACTATACAATTCTAATTTTTTTCAAAGGCAGTTTCTTTCATCACAAGGATTCGGGTATCATATATATTTTTTACGATTAAATCTAAAGACCCCCCCCCCCCCCCCCCGACAAGTTTGGTCGAATTCAAATGAAATCACCCTACTATAATCGGCGGAAAATTTTTTATGTTAATTTATCCTTAAAACGATCTGTGAATTCTGATTATTTCTTTACTACGGACGCTCAAAACTGTTGATTATCGATGAAAGGTAGAAAGTAAAAAAGAAGCTAAGAGTTCATATTTCACTTACGATTTCTATCCATTATTTTAACACTTCATGGTGATCAAGACGCGAGACTGCTTGAAAACGGCGAGCAACGATTCCGAGCACGGCTGAAAGTTTAAGTAATCTCTAACGTAATTATCTGGAGCTGCAACCCATCTGTTCCGTCTAATGAAAAAAAAAATTGGGGTGGCTTAGCTGCAGCATATACGTAGCGTGAGCTTATGCGCACAAAATGAGAGGCGCTATCTAGCGGCTCCGGTGGAGCGTCAGACTTGGCTACTGCGCAACGGAGGTGCACAGCTGGGCACGCGGCGGCGCCAGTGCGTCTACCGCGGCTATGACGTCGCTCCTCTGAAATGCGCAGACCGGCGACGCGGGCGCGGCGGCGGCGGCTCCGGCGCGCCAGCTGTGCACCGTGTGACGTCACTGCTCCTCGCGCTTGCGCAGCACGGCTCTTTGGGAGCCACGCGAAACTGCTCAACCTCGGCCAGTGTAGCTCACGCTACAAAAAAAGTTAATTATTTTCAAGCAGAGTGTTTGAATCACGAGGAAGACAAGCTCTGTTTTTCGCAAGATTAAATCGATAACGACCGCCAGTGTAGTTCCAAAACACTGTCGGCCGGCTCCGTCCTGAATAAGCGAATTCGTTGCGGCAGTCAGTGGTGACCGACTGAAACCCTGTTCACACATGCAGCGGAGCACTACAAGCATAGCTCTGACCTCGCGCTAAGCACGTGCTGACGGGGGCGTTCACCAGCTTTGTATCGCACCGTCAAAACTGTTGCTCATGGCATACGATAAGTAGCTGACGACACGTGAGCAGCGCTACATCAGCGCTTCGCTGCATGTGAGAACCGACCTTGACAGGCCATTCACATAATTATAAAATTACATTTAGGTAAGAGCCTTTATTCTCCGCGGCGAGCCAATTCACGATCCTCCGCGCGTGGCGTGTGCTCGCGACCAGAGAGCACGGGCTTATTCGCCGAGTCAAAAATACCTATAAAATGATAATTAACAGTGCCAATAAATATTTCAAAAGAGTATTAAAAAAAAGTGCGGTCACGATTAATCCGTTAACAGCCCGTCGATTACCCTCTATGATTAGGAAGTGACGTATTTGGATTATTTTGATAGGCCAAGCTAGTAACAATAAATGTAGATTTGTAGGACGAAGCGCGTACATGAAATGGGTGTTTTGTTGATCAATTCACATGAAACTTCAGCTGCAAGTCCGCTCTTAATGCCGGGCGTCTTTTTTTACAGTTCTTCGCCATTTATGGTACTTTTAATCGTCCCTACACATTAAAAAATTCTTACGCGTCTACTTACCCGCAAAACACTCAAAGTGCCAATTCCTGCAATCTGCGAAATCAGCTCAGCGAATGATGAGGCGGGACACCCATTTAGACCTAAAAATGAAGACTGCGCTGTGGCATTACGCAGTGCAAAGCGACATGCTTGCACTGCGTAATGCCACAGCGCAGACTTAATGTTGAGGTCTAAATGGATGTTCCGCTTTATCATTCGCTGAGCTGATTTCGTAGATAGCAGAGATTGGCTCTTCGAGTGTTTTGCGGGTAAGTAGTCGCGCAGGTGTTTCTTAGAGTGTATGTATCACCAACTAGCCCAAGTGAATATTCTTATACAGACCTATTTCAAAGGTACCCTTATGCTGGCCGTGTGAATGGGGTATAATACTTCATTCATACGACCAGCATTTAGGTACCGTACGTACCGCACGACGCACCTTAACGACCACAGATTAGCAGCCGTACTGCCTTGGTCAGTTTGCAAATTTATAGCGGAGACAATTTCTTCCCGGCGTCCGATCATTCGAACAAGCTTCTGACTCATTCTTGACTCGCGATGTACTTATTTAATAAAAATCAAGCACAGCAAACCGCCCAGTTGACCCGTAAGGGCCGCGCTTATTGTTGAACCAGTCAGATTTATCTTCTGATGGTACGAACTTTGATCGACGCCAAGGTTCGACTTGTTCGGCAAACCTTCGAGCTTCAGCAATAGTTCGACGAGTCAGTCTTTTGAGGTGTTGCTCCACTTCTCTAAAAAGAATGACCAATTTCGTGGGAAATAACTTTTATGCTAATTTGCGCCAAGGAAGAAGAGGAGCATCGGTCTCTGAAAGCTTTTCCAACGTCGGCGTCCACAATGACCAACAGGCCCAGGAGCATCTGACACTGAGCGTTCCGTCGTTTTCCGAGGGTGTAGTCATTCGTTTAGTTGTTACGTTGAAACAAAGCATTGGTAACGAACAACGTACTTACCAACCATATGAGAAACGTAAGGAGCTACGGCTGACTTCGTCCTTCAAGTAAAATGCACTTGCCCGCCAGGTACTACGGGCTCGTCTTCGGACTCTTGGGAATCTGCCAGGGCACGTACAGGGCGTACATGGTGGGCACTATGTCGACCGTCGAGAAGCGGTTCTCCATCTCCAACCGCACGTCCAGCGTCATCCTCATTGCGGATGACATCAGTCCGCTCCTGGCCACGCTGGTCTTCATGCTGTTCCTGCGCCGTACCAGCAAGCCCAACTGGATCGCGGGCGGCATGTTCCTGTCCCTGATCGGGGCGCTGTCGACGTTCATGCCGTACAGCGTGTTCGGGGCCGGAACGCATCTTCTGGGGACGGCGGTCTCCAAGAGTGCCGTGGAGGAGAAGAAGGCGGTGCAGTTCTGCTTCGATGCCGCAGGCGGACTGGAGAGCTGCGAGGCACGTCGGCAGTCGGACTGGTCGACCGCGGGCGCCGTTACCTTCATGTTCGTTGGAAACTTCCTCAACGGCTTGGGCGGCGTCGCTTGCTACGTGATCGGCACGACGTACATGGACGACAACGTGAAGAAGAAGAACTCGGCACTGTACTTCGGTAAGCGCCATGTTTTTTATGTGTTTTTTTTCGCGTATGTAATAAACAATAAATAAGTGCACAAATTACCCAGGCCCGCAATAGCACGTGTGTGCTTGTGGTCGGGACACTGTCGCAATGGATAGGAATAGTGTTACTACTCTTACACAAACCAACGTACCGGCATGCTTCCGGCCTAAAAAAAGCTAGATTTAAGCCCTGATAAGTTACAAACAAAATACAAGTTACATTTAGAACACCTTAGAAAGCGTTGTAAATGGTGCTAGAGCTTCCCTTTGGCATTTACATATAACAAAAAAGCGAAATAAAAGCAGCATGAGCATGCATTATAGACTCTATAAGCCGCTTCTTCTTATAGTTTCCATCTTAGTACTTGCCGCAGCCAATCGGTTTTAGAGCCATTGAATATTCCTAAAGTGCCAACAGTTTCAAGTTTTGTTTTGAAATGCGTCGCGACGCCGAGATGAATACGTTCAAGGTAGGTGTTAACTGGTGAAATTAGAAACAATTGCTAGGTGGCGTAACCCAATACGTGATTAAAAGTTGTCTGCCTTTTGAATCATACAACAATTAATAACAATAGAGAGGTTATGCTGTTGGTTCAAATGTGGGTCGCTGGAGCTGGCAACACTTGCTCGCCATCGCCTAAACTGCCTGAATTCTCATCTCGCAGGCTTGAGCAGAATCTGCCTAAAATGAAAAGCATGGGAAAAACCTAAGAGCTTATAACCTATTGACCGGGAATAAGTCAACAATTCAGAGAGTTGCTAGGGCTGAAGTATGGGCTTGTTGGTAAAACACGATTTAAAACGTTAAGTGCAGCGCACACACAACACGGCCACAAAAGAAAGCCGAGCACATACAGCGCCGTGTGTGTTCGCCTTTCTCCTCTATTCGTGTTTGCGTGAGCTGAACTCGCCGTTTGAAACTATGATTAGAAAGACCGATTTCTAAAAAAACTGGCTCAGATGTCAGGCATTTATGCTTTCGTCAAAATAACCGATATCAGCCAATCAGAAAGCGCGAGTAATTAGTTGGCTTCCCCACTTCCACCAGAAGCTACATGATGTGGTACTTTGAACTTTCAGTAACTTTATGTTGGTCCATTGACTGGGCACAAGCAGAAGAAAATGAGTAAATATATACGAAACAAAGCTGCACAATACAATAATGATAAAAAAAACGGACGTTCACATCAATGTTATTAAACCTTTTCGCAGGTGGAATCTACGTCTGTCGCTTTATAGGACCTGTCATCGGTTTGATGCTGGCGTCTGCTTGCCTCAGCCACTACGAGAACCCCTTTGGTAAGCTACTGACACATGCGTGACGTTGTCGAAAGGAACACAAAATCCCGGGCCAACTATGCATATTTTACTCGTAGAGTGCAGTGCGAAATGTAACATGTTGCTGAGGATATTGGATTCCAACATGAACGAATTCCTAAAAGTTCGTGTACCTCTAGTATACCCTTTATTTGTTAAAAGAAAATAAAGATAACCCGTGATCGCGTGTACTGTGTTGTGCCCTCTGCGTGTGCTTAAAATTATTGATAAGGATAATGTCAATAACCTTTCACATAAATTGTAAACAAGGCTAGCTCATACAACGTTGTTACGGATGGCGACATTTGTCTTAGAGAGCAAATGGCTTACGAGACAAACGGACTGCGTGCTATTCATGAAATACTATGTAAGTTACTCCTTACCGTTTCTGCAAAGTCCCGAGTTAATGGGCTCGTTTTTATCTACTTGTATTGAATCGAGTTCAAGGTTAGAAAATTATTAAACAAATTAAGGAAAGTTGATCGAACAAAATTATTTACCTTCTTTTCTTAGCGGAGGTCAATGGTTGGGAACAATAGAACTTTGTGGGAATGCCTGTCCTGGTATGTCTTTTCTGGGCTCCTGGATCTTGATATCATTAGCGAAAAAAAAACCATTCCAGCGAATTTCGTCGGCCAATATATGTGAGATTATACAAAAATGTCCCTTGAAACAACACGTAATCGCACTGTTTGTTATGTGCGGTACCATCCATGGTACAGAAGTAATTAACTAAAAGTGTAATACATTATTACTTGTATTAAACACTTCGTGAGGTATAATTCAAGGATATGTGTAGTTTACGAGTAGCATATTAAACATACGCACCTTCGGTATGCATACCTTAGCTGCCAGACTAGACTGACGCCCAAACCGCGCTGGTAAAGCGCATGGTACAACAAAACTATATTAAAAAGCACACTTCACTGTTTGAAATTAAGCTACAATATACTTTAAGCGTACGTCTTTTTTTGAAGGAGAACTGAAGCTGTTCTGTATTTGTGAATATAAAAATAAATGAATATAAACGAATATCAAAATTATCTTTCAGGTTGATGCGCCCACTAGCCACAACATCACTTCGAATATAGCGTTAAAGCCCCTCTTTCCCGGCGCGTTCTGTGGAAGGAGATAATCGTGACGTATTGGACAGAAATCTCAACACTTCCGCGCATTCCCCAAGCTTTACCCGAGCAGTCAAAAACGCTGCATGCGTTCCCTCACACGCGGCAAGCGCGAAGTAGCTGAAACTTCTGGATATGACGTCCAACCCAGCGATTGGTTTTTCTCTTGTTTTCGCGTCTATTGATATAGGTTCGCGTCAAATGGTTCTGAAAATCAAAATCACAGGACAAAAATAGGATAAGACTCACCTTCTAATATGTTATATAAAAAAAAAATACCCTTCAGCTTCCCTTTAATAAGTGTTGCTTTCTACCTAGGATAGAGCAACGAATGCGAATGGAATGACTTATTGTTCTGATTGAATGTCATCAGTCAGCCCCGGTATCACGGCAAAGGATCCACGCTGGATCGGCGCCTGGTGGATCGGGTACCTGGTCATTGGATTCGGGCTCTTCCTCAGCGCCCTGCCCATGCTCTTCTTTCCCAAGAAGATTCGCTCGGCTGCCATCGAGACTCGTCGCGAGAAAGCGCCGGCATACAAACCCACCCTACAAAGCGAACTAACAGGTACGCGGAAAATTTGAAATCGTTTTGACGTTTTATAGTATGAATTATCAACATTAGACAATGATAAATATGAACATGAATATTTAAGTTTAATATCGCAATTACAACGACGATTATACGCTCCGAGGAATGCAGTGCGCCTACTTTCCACACGAGGCCCTTGAAAGAGCCGATCGCCGCAAACTACGGAGGGATTTCGCTGATCGAATGACGAAGCTGACCAAACGTTAATACTTGACTTGATTAAAATTTTCTTGATTATTCTGATAAACCTGAGAAGGGTACAATTTGTCGTGGGTGCGCTATGTGTGCGTTATGATCCACTGTGCTTGGTTAAGGGAGCCTTTGGGCGGTTTCAGATGGGTTGCACGCACGGCAAACGCATGTGCCCTCCAGGATCATAGGAATGATCAAGTTAAGTTTAAATTTATTCCGGATCGGAGTGTCTAAGGAGCATTTAGTTTAGTTCATTCTGGCACTGGAGTCAACAGTGTGGAATCAATGGTCTGCGTTGTGATAAAATGAAATTGAGTTTCTGACGTATTTCACCACGTTTCACTTCGAATTTGCCATATAAACAGTATGTTTTCATTGTTTAATTGGCCGTTTTACTCATCATAGAATTTTAGCAAGTGCAGATATCTTTTAGACCTGACCCCCCAAAAAAGTTTGGTTGAATTAAAAAAAAGGCCAATTGTTTTTGATCATATATGCATATAGTGCCGCCGGAAAAACAATGTAGCATGAAATTATCGGGGGAAAAAGAAGAGCATGTAAATAAATATTAACGGCAATTGCTGAAAATGAAGCCTATAACCCTAATGATGTCCCTGCTTGTGAGATTTGCCAGTTGAACGAAGGAAAAATAACCAACCAGCTCAGCTCCAGGCAATTACGATGTCCCTGTGCACTCAAGTTAGCACTCAATCTGATGCTTGTATCACTGATTGTAGGGTTCTGAAAATATTCAAGTGTTGACTTCAAATCGAGCAGTGATTGACCGAATAATTCGACTTGACTTCCGGATTCCTGGTATTTCGAATAATTCGACGTATCAAATATTAATACTGTTGGACGAAGTCTGGGTTTATTCGCCTTCTGAATGGCCCCAGCAGAGTTCTAGCAGGCCTCTGCTGAGTCTAAATCGTGTCTACATTGTTTCAGTTTCAGTTAAAGTTTATTTGGACATAAATACAAAGTACAAACGTCCACGAGGTGCGGCTAAAGGAGGCCAATGCGTCTCCTGACGAGGCCATCACCTCGGGTTTAAGCGTCAGGCAGCAAGACATACTAATAAATAAAAATACATAAAAATTATACACTACATATATATATCCACCTAGCACAAGCACAATTAGAGGGGAGCCATCAGCTCAATTAATAAACAAAAATACACAAATCAAAACATGACAAGGCTGTCTAACGTTAGAGAGAGAAAAGAAGCTATACCATGTCGATCATTGTCGATCATTTTGATGATGATCATTGTCGAGTTATTTCTGAAATATTGAAATTGATTTTATTAGTCATAACTAAGAGTAGACAAAACATGGAACTTTAAAGTTTTTTTGGTTCTTGACAACATTCAAATAAGGAAGGGTGCATATTGCATAACGCGATAATTTGATCTTCAATAGTTTGGGTACCATAGATTGTTCGGGGCCTGGACCCCACCAGAATATGGTGGGTAGGTTGTATACTATGTTCCTTGATAGGCATTTGTTTGCAAAATAAGTAAAGTCGTGTTTAACTTTGTAATAAATTAGAGTAGCTAAGTAGAAACTATAAAGCTAAGAAAATGGTAGTAGCACAAGATCATTACAAAGGAAATTGTCAGCAACAGTTTTACGAATAAACATAGTTTGTAGGGCTCTTTCTGGACGCGAAAGAAGTCGATCTAAATCAGCCTTATTACACGTGTCCCAGATAAGATGACTAACAAAAAGTGGGAGTGAATTAAGGAGAAGTATAATAGTTTTTCTACACTCTGTGGTAGAAGATGTTTTAGTCGTTATTTTAATCCTATAGATATGGTTATTTTTATTTGTACTTGGTCAGTCCAACTTACATAAGTTTTAAAGCAAACCCCTAAAACACACACAGGCGCTTGTTCGCGTAATTTCAGAGCTATTTATTTATATATTTATGAATACTGTTCCACCCCAAGTACGGGGCTTTAACAGGTGTGGGTATAGAAGAGCACTGAAACATACAACATCAGGACTACATACAGTACACATTCAGCGACATTCACTTAAAATAAAGGGGCTGAAATAGCAGAAACATTCAATATATTATATAGCACTGAACAAAATGAATTCTCAGCACTCGAAATTACTACTTAGCAAAATATTTAACGACTATTTATCATTCCAAATCAGTCATATTCAAAAGGGCGCTCTCAAAATTATCTAAACAGTCCAATGACAATATATTTTGTGGGAGATCATTCCAGTCTTTTACTGTTCTAGGGAAAAAAGAAAACCTATAAGCGTCAATATTACATTTGGGCACCTCAAACGAATTAGTGCTAACGAATATGAGTTCTCTCGATGCGCGATGTGTTAATCTAGAATCCGGGTTAATGTCAGACAGGTGATGAGAAAACATAAATAAAAACTTTAGTCGAACAATTTTTCGACGGACGGAAAGTAAGGGGAGATTGAGGCTGTTCAGCATATTTGTGACAGAATCAAGTCGCTTGTATTTGGATAGAATAAATCGCGCCGCCTTCCTCTGAACTTTTTCAAGTTCACCAATTGGATTTTTTTCTATAGGGGTCCGATACCGATGCAGCCTACTTCAAGGTAGGCCTAATATACGTTGTGTATGCCATTAACTTCACTTTAGGCCGAGCACTGGTCAGATTCCGTCTTAAAAACCAAAGTTTTTTCATTGCTTTGTGACATATTTCATTTATGTGCTTACTCCAAATTAAGTCTTTAGAAAGTGTCACACCCAAGTATTTAAAACTACCAACTTCAACCAAAGGACTCCTATCAAGCTCGTAAGTAAAGAAAAGAACATTCTTAGTTTTGTTACTTATTCGTGCAAACACAGTTTTTTTTTTGTATTAATTTTCATCTTCCATTTCCAGCACCAGTCCTGAATAGACCCAACAGATGCACTTAATCTGCGCTGGTCGTCTTCCTCCTCGATTTTTAAATATACCAGACAATCATCCGCAAATAGCCGCACAGTAACCCCTTGATTTATTTCCGCCGCGATATCATTAATGTAAATTAAAAATAATACTGGCCCGAGTACTGACCCCTGGGGGACGCCCGAGGGCACTTCAGATACAATTGAACGGTCACCGTTAACCTCTACATACTGCACCCGATTAGATAAATACGCCCCGATCCAGAATATCACGTTATGATTTACACCATGCAAAGAAAGTTTATGAAGTAGTTCAGTGTCTGTTACTCTATCAAAAGCCTTAGAAAGGTCAAGGCATATCGCATCAATCTGTCCTCTTTCATTAGAAGAAGCTGCAAAATCGTCAAATGTTTCCACGAGTTGCGTGACCGTCGATAGTTTCTGGCGAAACCAATGTTGGGGGGGGGGGGGGGGGGGGGTTAGAATGAAAAATGTTGGAGGATTCAAAATACTTGTATAATGCTTTAGAATTAATGTGCTCAAATAATTTGCATACTATGCAACGTAATGCCATAATGCAAAGGCTTAATTGTTTTTATGAAAAATTATAAACATTATTTTCTATACATTAAAGTCAATTTTGTCTACGTTAAGCCATATTTGAAGCTACCTGATACGTACATTTAAATTCCGTTAAAAAAAAAAAGACCTGTACCTGAAAAAAAAAAAAAAAAACAAACAACGTTAGTATCATCAGCGTACAGAAATACATCAGTAATTAAGGGTATGTTAACACTCTCATTTATGTATAGGATGAAAGGCAGGAGACAGAGAATAGACTCCTGTGGGGCGCAAAATTTATTACACCTATATGTCTGATTGAATTTTATGTTGCTGCGTGTACTGTTTTAATCCTCAAAGATTACACCTACAATTCTATAAGATTACAACTACTCAACGAATGCCATATATGCCTTTTTTTCCAATCTAAAGTATGTGCTTAATTGAGTCGAACGCTTTACGGAACTGAAAAAAAAGCCCTACAGTAAAGAGTTTTTGTTCAATATTATAGAGCATGCGTTTTTTATGGCCTAATAATGCGGTTTCAATGGATTTACCTGTCTGAAATCCATAATGTTGTTTACCAATTACTTTTCGAGGTTCTAGAGAGTTGCAGAATATTTTATAAATCACACACTCCGGAATTTTCGAAAAAAAAAAAAAAGCGGCAGTACAGAGATTGGCCTACGTAGTTGCTTAGGTAATTATTGTTTCCACCTTTATAAATTATTGCAATGCGTGCGATTGTCATTTTATTGAGAAATATGCCAGTGACAAGCGCTCTGTTACGAAAGTAAGCCTCCGGGAAGCGTTACCTGATTTCAAAATTTCGACGAAAAGTTTTTGTTTTGTTTTTAGTATTCTTCGAACCAACTGGTTTCAATCGAACTCGTTCGAAGTTTTTGACGCAAGCTCTCAAGCGACGCACACTGCTATTTTGAAATCATATCTGAACTATAGCTCTTTCCCGGTTGTCACTGTTCAGTACATGGGGATTAATTGCAATGAAAATGACAGCGATAATTGAAGCCGCCTCGCCCGCTAAGCCGTCCAGCTCCGCGGCGTTGGGTGACGCGCAGCTTGGTATACGTTACTCGGAAAGAGTAATCGTATAGCAAATACAATTAGTCTCGCTTAAAACGTATTCAATTAGATCACTTTATTATTCGAGACGAAACGCACTTTGCTGTCACTTGAAAAAGCAAGCGCCACTTCTTCGAATAATTGAGATTTTCAAAACGACCGAGTTTTCTGCCGGCTTGAAACGGGGTCTTTCGTGCTCCCCTTTCCGAATTATGAACTACTTGTCTTCTCAATTCACAAAGTTTAATAAACCATCCTACTGCTCGAGACTTGGTTCGAGGCTTCCTTGGAAGGAAACTTGCAGAAAGCACATGAGCGAATAAAAAAGAGCGGGGCGGGAGGGGGGGGGGGGGGGGGGAGGGGGGGGGGAGTAACGGTGACATGCAATTTTATTACATTCGAAAGTATTAAAATTACTTTTGCCATTATTTGCTAATTAAAGGTAATGAAATGATTACAAAATTTCTCAAACACATAATCGATTACAAGTAATTTAATTAGTTATAGGAAGTACCGTACAAGTTTGGAGAGGTGCCGCGGCTAGCTGGCACAAGACGTCGCCCGACTTGAGCTCAGTCTGTTTCTATACATTTAAATAGAGGTTTGGGCATTCAGTTCGGCATTCGACACTAGACATAAGTGTCAGCTGCAACATAAACACGAAGACAAAAAGAATAGAAAGAGACAAACACACCGCTGACAAACAACTAGGTTACAATTCGTCTTCTTCGTCTTTAACCCCAAGCACTCCCTCCTATCTTCATCTTTATCCCTAAGTACTTCTTCATAGAGAAGAGGAATTATAACCTAGTTAGTCAGCGATATGTTTGTCCCTTTCTATCTTTTGTATGTTCGTTTTTATGTACTGACTGACGCATATACCTAATATGCACCAACTAGCTCAGTTTGAGACTGTGACCGCCGAATTCAGAAACCTCACTCCAACTACACTCAAACTGAAGGGCCCCTCCACTTCCTCGAGGAAGGCGCGAGGGCCGGCGCTGGCCAATTGCGACTGCGGATCCGTCCTCGCGATTGGCCAGCGCCGGCCCTCGCGCCTTCATCGAGGAAGTGGAGGGGCCCTTCAGTTTGAGTGTAGTTGGAGTGAGGTTTCTGAATTCGGCGGTGAGAGTAGACATCCGAAAGTTTCGCCACCAGTTGGCACTATTCAATTCCAGCTCAATTGCGCTATTCGCACATGTCCAATTGAGTCTTATACGCGTTTTCCTGCACACATTAAGAAATAAATAAGACAAAGCACTATGTTTTCATTTAGAAGTTGAAAATGTCAGGTCGCGTATACATTTATGAACAATTAAAGCACTTCTCGCGACGTCAATTTTTGGTTTTGCGCGCGAATGCAGAGGCCGTTCAAGTTCTCAAGAGACTCGCCAGGAATCCGATTTACGTCTTCCGAACTCTTGGAAACATCGCCGTGTACATCGCCCTCACCGGCTACTACATCGCCTTCCCAAAGTACACGCAGCACCAGTTCCAACAGACGGCTTCAAATGCCAGCCTATTTACGGGTATGTAGTTAAGGGTGGTTTTCCTTTTAGTCGAATACAAAGCACGGGTCCCCCGAGCCTTGATACGCAAATAAACGCACGCAGGCACACGCACGCAGGCACACAGATGCTGACGTACGCTTGCGCATGCACGCGCAAGCACAAACGCGCAAGCACAAACGCGCACGCAGAAAGGCACACGGAGAGAAAGAAATCATAAAGCTTTCCCCCCTTCAGTGTCGGCGACCTGTTTACAAGCGACCGCATACGAAAGCCGGGACACACTGCTTAGACAGAATAAAAGAAAGAGTCTGCATACAGATTCGAACGCGAGTCGCCGCGAGACCCGTGCTTCGAATGCCACATGCCAATGAGTTCAAAAAGAAAACTTGGCACACGGCTTTCGAACCACGGATATTACGTTGACTCGTGTTTACAGACTGTCTTTTGTATGATGTATTAGCAGTGTGACTTCGGCTTAACGGGAAGCCGGTCGCCTGCTAGTGTTCGCAGTCATTCTCGCTCTAAGTTCCCGTGCTAGTCTAGAACCTAACTTAATTATATATATAAAAACCTAAGCAGCTTCAATTACCATCTTTTGTTAGCAAAGCTTTAGCATTGATCTGTAACACTGTATCGGTGTCGTACCACCTCTCCGAATGAATAAAATCTGTCTAAGAGACACGCAAAACGTGTCACGTTTAGGAATCTACGACATATTTGCCTTGAGCACACAGAAGATATTTATATTTCAACACATAACCTCAGGAGGTCGCCGTCGTAAATGGCAGGCGAGTTGCGTTCTCTTAGTTCACCATTCCATGCATCGATCGTAATATAGCTGCGAGTCAGTCGACATAAAGCGCTTCACAGCTGTCTAAGGTGCGCGAACCGACTGGTGTGTTTAGTGCCCCACTCTGTCCACACATCGGAGCATCTCGGAAGTGGCAATAAAATACGCCAAAAGCGCCGCCAGGTAATGCCATCGGCTGTCGTGATCCTGGCGATTGGTCGAAGCAGCGCATCGTTTGTTACGCGCTTCAACCGGTAGCTGTAAATGCTTCCGCCGACTGGGCCTGCTTCAGATCAAACTATGCCGGAACAGCCGAGTGCTCTATACTTGTTACCAAGCCTCTTCAAAGTCCTCACTAGACAAAGAAAATCAATCGCCATCAGGAGGGCACAGAGAGGAACGGTCCTCACACACAGGACACTACAAACATTACATAAACGGTTTACTCGCGACACTCAAATGCACAAACTGCGGTAAATATCCAAACAAGAAGCACGCCTCCTGGAAATACCCGGCAGCAAAGGACACAAGACAAAAATACTTCACCCACTTACCCCCACCCTTTAGACCATCCAATTGGGATGAGTGGACCGACCCCCGGAGTTGTAAAGAGTACGCCGTATGGACCGCACTGACGGAACTTACATAAGCGAAGTCCCCGGGGAACAGGACTGAATGTCTATGCCTTGGACGAAAGGCTTTAAGGAATAAAGTAATCTCTCTCTCTCTCCCTTTCTCTCTCTCTCTCTATATATATATATATATATTTCGGTTTCGGTTTTGTACCGGTTCGGTCAAAAATAACGGTTTTGATCCGGTTTTCGGTTCGGTTTCGGTTCGACACCCTGGTTTTCACATCACGTTACGAAATTCAGGGACAGATAATAAAAGCCCAGTATATGCACAAATAGCAGACTAGTTCCAAGGCTCCTGCGGAGTGCTTCCTTTCTCACTCCATTTTCTCTGCAGGGCCGACGATCATAGTGTCCAACATGGTGGGAACGTTCCTGGGCGCCCTGTTAGTGCATTACTTTCAACCGAGGACCAGAATTATAGCGTGGCACAACGTCGTGGCAACTGTCATCGCCATCGGAGGCGTAGTAGCCTTGATGGGGATGAGCTGCGGCAATCTGAAGTACCCGCTTGTGGATGGCCCTAACGCTAACAGGTAATACCATTTATAAGAGTTTGAGAACGTACAAGTCCCCAATTGTACCTAAATAGGGCCAAACATTGCAGACCTTTCTGATATTGTTTGCAGCATTCAGTACCCCCCTCCCCCCTGTTTTCCCTCCAGAGCCTAACCCAATTAAGCCACGTTCCATGCCGCTAATACATCCCATAAAAGACAGTCTGGATACAGGTTCGAACACGAGTCACTGCGAGGTCCCTGCTTCGAATGCCGCATGGGAGTGAGTTCAAGGAGAAAGCCTGGCACGCGGCATTCGAACCACAACTATTGCGGTGACTCGTGTTTGCAGTATGTTTTTTGTATGATGAATGAGTAGTGTGATCCCGGTTTTAGTCCCGCATTTTTTGCCAGCGGTGGATAACCTGCCGGAGGCCATTGTTATAGAACTAATCATTTTGTTGTTGTTGTTGTTGTTGAGTGTTGTTACACACGGGAAGAGGGGATGCCTGCACGTAATGTTAGCCTCCTTGGGCAGGGGCAAGACTCGCACAGGCGGGGAAAGAGGGTGAGAAAAGAAGAGAAGAGGGGTTGGGGAGTGATTTGGTCACCAATCTCTGGATGGGTAGGGTCGAATCAGGAGGCTATTTTCTTGAGGGAGGGGGGACACTGCAGAACTGTCTTCTGGTATGGAGATCACAGATTAGTCGATGGCAGTTGAGACGAGAAGGCGTGGCTGGTCTAGGTGGCGGGCCGGTGGGCTAGAGGCGCGTTGCAAGTCCAGTGGCTTTGAGGTACTCAAGAAGAGATTTATAAACAAGTTCTCTTCTTCGTCGACCTCCGGTAGGAAAAAGGATATCGTTCTTTTGAGTCACAGTTGTGCTGGCACTTAGGATGGTGGTAAAAAAGGACCGTCGAGCTTGATCGTAGTGAGAACAATTTAGGAGGACGTGGTCAAGGTCCTCTGGGACATTGCATTTGGCACAGTTGGGTGTACTAGACCTGGAGATCTTGTGAAGTGTCGTTGATGTGTAGGCGCAGTTTGCACGAAGGCGATGGAGCAGCGTGGAATCTGATCTGGTTAGTTTTGACTCAGGGAGCGATGGAGGAGGATTTCCGCTTGCAACTTCTGTATGGGGGTGACGCATTGTGGTAATTAATTTGCACAGTCTGCGCGCTTCGCAATAACGTGGGATGAAAAGACTGGGTTCTTCTTCCTTGTGTGCCTTTGAAGCAAGGGCATCGGCGCGTTCGTTGCCGGGGATACCCATATGTGACGGAATCCATTGAAAAGCCAACTGCCACCCTCGCATGCAAAGTTTTCGGGCCTTGTCGGCCACACATTGGGCCAGAAAATGAGCTTGGTCTGAAGCTTCCAAATTGGATAACGCACTTCGAGAGTCGGAGAGAATAACAGTCTTGCAAGGATTGAGGTTGTGAAGCGCATCTAATGCCGCTGCTAGTGCAGCCAGCTCCACTGTCGTTGACGTGGTTGCGAAGTTGAGGCGGTGTGATGCTTCGATTCCGGCATCGGGAATGACGAATGCCGCTGTAGATGTTGCAGTTGTGGGATTCGTTGACCCGTCAGTAAAAACTTGGAGCCAACCATTGCACGTGCTTGTCAGTTGGTCAGCTGCAAGCGACCTTCCGACAGTGGCCGAGATAGAATTCTTCTTCGGGAAATAAGGAAGAGTTTCTTCTACAATGTACGGCGGTTGGGTTATGAAAGGTGCCGGAGGAAAGTGATGGCAATTAGGAGGTCCAATTTGTAAGTTAAATTCTTGTACAGATCGACCTATCTGCGAATCAAAACGCTCTTCAATGTTGGACAGCAGTGATGTCGCAGATCGTGCTCCATACATGCGAGTGATATGATTCATTGCTCTTATTCTGATGTGCATAGCTACTGTTTGATCCTTGGCCTCTACGAGTGTCGCCGTATTGCCCGCGAAGCGTGGCAGTCCAAGGCACTGACGGAGGGCAATACGGTGAAAACATTCCAGTGTGGTAATTTGATGAGCCCTGATTGTGATGAGAGGTAGGCTGTATAACATTCTTGAGAGGATAAGACCACGATAGAGAATCAGAAGTCCCTGAGGAGGCAGTCCAGATTTCTGGCGATGGAAGTGACGGAGCACAGTTAATAATTTAGTGCACTGCGTTACAAGTCGTTTTATCTCGGGTCTTCATGTAACGTGGTCATCTATTTCCATCCCCAAGTATCGGTACGTTGAGACTCTTTGGATCGGTATTCCTTTGATGGTTGGCGTATTTGCAACTTTGCGGTTTGGATGTCGACCAGGGCGGTAACAAAGGAAGGCTGTTTTGCTTGTAGATAAAGTAAGTCCTAGTTCTTCTAGAGTAGAAGTCGTGCTGTCAAGAACTTTCTGAAGCCTTTTGCCGATGATCCTTGACAGTCTGGGTGGACCGACACACCAAATTGCCACATCATCGGCGTATATCGTCATGTGTGTGGTATCAGTGTGATAACAGTGTAACAGTGTGACAAAGCTACACGTGGTGTGCTCTGGTTATCGGTGACGTCCGCAGGATTGTCTATAAAAGGGCTGACGAAATAAAACACGGGGGCTTCCTTTTCCCAGACGTCCGGTGCGAATGGTTCATTCTTCGTTGCTCGCAATCGCACGCCGATAGTACGGCGGCGCGACATGGTGTCAGAAGTGGGCGTATCATCAGTCTAGGTTCGCGAAAGCAAGCGTAAAAGACTATGGCGAACGAAACGCCACCGGCACCTACGGGAACGTTTGGACTTCAACAGCCACCACAGCTGGACTTCGACAACACAACAGAGTGGCCGGCCTGGATAGAACATTTCGACGATTACCGCTTCGCCACAGGCATCAACAAAAGACCCGGTGAGGCACAAGTCCGCACGCTATTGTACACAATGGGCCGGCAAGCAAGGGAAATTTTTGCCACGTTCGACCTTTCGACAGAGGAGGCAAAGGACTTCGACCTCGTCAAGCGAAAGTTCGACGAGCACTTCGTCAAGGAACGAAACGTCGTGTATGAAAGTGCATGTTTTCACCGAAGGGTACAGAAGCCAGGAGAGTCCGTGGACCAGTACGTTACGGCACTGCACGTCCTCGCAGACCGCTGCGAATTCGGTGAGATGAAACAACGCTTGATCCGGGACCGGTTTGTCGTGGGGCTCCATGACGACAAGCTTTCCGAAAACCTGCAAATGGACGCCAAGCTGACCTTGTCATCGGCGTTAGCCAAGGCACGCCTCAAGGAAGTGGTGCACCAGCAGCAGCGAGAACTTCGTTCAGGAGAGCCCGGTCAACAGGCCTGTTCTTCGACGAAAGAGGACCTGAACGCAGACGCCGTGAGCCGACGCCGGGATGCACCTCGAAGAAAAGTCTACGGGTCGGAAACATCACATCGGGACAAGCAGTGTTCTTTCTGTGGAGGCGACCAGCATCCAAGGTCGGTGTGTCCTGCAAGGGCACAGAAGTGCTTCAATTGCCACACCAAGGGACATTTCAGCCGGGCCTGCAGGAAGGAGTCGGCGTCGTCTCCAAGAAAGGTACAAGTGTCATCCGTACAACAAGAGACTGGCGAACTTTTTCTGGGGGCGATAAATGTTCCGGACGCGAAAGCGTGGTATGTCCAGATAACCTTGAACTCTGTACCAGTGTTTGCTAAAGTTGATTCAGGAGCAGAAGCCAATCTTGTACCGTCTACGTTTCCAGGCATTCCGTTTAGGCTGGAAACAGCAAGCGAAGTACTGACTGGTGCGGGAGAAAATCGCCTTACGGTACTTGGAAAGTTCAAAGCTAAGTTAATCTGGAAGGACAAAGTGTCGATGCAAACTGTCTATGTTGTGAGTCCGCTTCGCCAGGTACTTCTAGGGTTACCAGCCATAGAGGCTTTGGGAGTTGTAAATTTCATCGATGGTGTGTCTCTGGATAAACAAAATTATGATGTTCTGTACCCGCAGGTGTTCAATGGTCTTGGAACCATTCCGGGAGAATACAACATCCGATTGAATTTGGATGCGGTCCCGTACGCTATACACGCGCCCCGACGAGTCCCGATTCCTATGCGTGAGGCGGTAAAGCAAGAAATTGAAAAAATGGAAGGGATGGGAGTCATCCGGAAGGTCGATGGTCCTACAGACTGGTGCGCCGGGATCGTTCTGGTCTTAAAACCGTCCGGAGACGTACGCGTGTGTGTTGACCTCACACAATTAAACAAAAATGTCCAGAGAGAGCGATACGTGCTCCCAACGGTAGACCAGGCATTGGGACTGCTCGCGGACGCGACGTATTTCTCGAAGTTAGATGCTAATTCGGGATTTCACCAGGTAAAACTAGCAAGGTCATCCCAGGAACTAACGACGTTCATAACGCTCTTTGGAAGGTTTTGTTTCACTAGACTGCCCTTCGGCATTACGTCAGCGCCTGAATACTTCCAAAAAAGAATGTCGGAGATTCTAGATGGCCTCCCTGGCGTAGTTAACATGATGGATGATATCCTGGTGTTTGGTTCGGACAAAGCACAACACGATGAGCGCGTGAAAAAAGTCATGGACAGACTCGCAGAGTCAAACATGACACTAAACGGGGCAAAGTGTGTGTTCGGTGTAAAAGAAGTTAGCTTTCTAGGTCATCTTCTGAGCGCAGATGGCATAAGGCCTGACCCCAAAAAGCTGCAAGCGGTCAAAGATATGAAATCGCCGACAAACGTGTCGGAAGTACGAAGCATTCTAGGTATGGCCAATCACTTGGGCCGTTTTCTGCCTAATCTCGCTCAGAAAACTGCACCGTTGCGAGAACTGCTAAAACAAACCACGGAATGGGTTTGGGGCCCCGCTCAGGAAAGTGCTTGGAACGATCTAAAAAGCATGATTTGTTCTTCCGAGTATATGGCTAAGTATGACCCAACCCATCCGACAATCCTTTCGGCAGACGCGTCGTCATTTGGGCTTGGAGCCGTTCTCTTACAAGAGCAGCAAGGGGTACGACGGCCTATCGCTTTTGCTTCGCGGTCTTTGACCAAAGCTGAGATTCGCT